GGGGCTGATCTCTGACCCTGCCTCATCTCCCATCCCTCTGCTGGCTCCCTGCCATTCCCGGGGGACACCCCAGGGAGACCACAATCGTATGTAGGCTATGTCAACAAGAGACTCACATAGTTCCTGAGGAATGGAGGCTATAGTTTACCTGGGCTCCAATGCGCCTTTATCAAACCATCTGTGACCCAATGAGCCCCCTTAATGTAGATATCCTCTTTTGTATCAAAATCCCCTAAAGAAATCTTCCATCTAAGCACTAGGCCTACACTATCAGTTTTCCTCACCTCTGTAAGTGCTGTGTCCTGATCCAGGCTCAGAGTCTCGTTTCCCTGTGGCAGCGGGATGCTCCGCAGTACCGTGATGTGCAAGGTGAGGAGAAGTAGTCCCAGGAGGAGCAGCACTTCCGCCGCCAGACGCACCATCCTTTTGACGCGGCCGCTCTTAGGAGCCTGCGGTGTGGTCGGAGCTCCCACTCCGCCTCCTCCCGGTGCAGAGACCCCAATCTCCGGATCCGCCGGGGACGAGGAGCCGCAACACCACTTCGGAGCCACTTCGGGAATCAGAATTGCAAAGTTGAAGGGAAAAGGTTCGGAGGAGGGGGCAGTCGAATACTTCTGGAAGTAGTATATTGAAGACTAATTTGGATCCAGTTGGATTTTAAACTTGTCTTGAATCAAGATTGATCTTCTTTTACTGATTGTTCCTATACTTTCATCTAAATATAGTATAAGGTATTGCACTGATATGCCAGGAGTAGCCTACTGCAGGGCTGGTCCTGCGCGCAGCACTAACACGTTCCCCTCTTGTTGCTCCCTCGTCAGATCTCCAAAGCTCAGGAAACTTGCAGCCCAGTTGCCCCGTGGTGTCCCCGCCACATTCTCAGCCTCACACTTCACTTTTCCTCACTTCCTCTCCAGCTACTTTGCGCATTTCTTGATATGTCCTCATTGTGCGCTTTCCTATGTTATACGACGACACTACCTTTGGAGAAAAGAGTGCAGGTAGTTAAATATATCTTCCCAGTTAGGTGGAGTTCTGTCCTCTTCAGAAACAGCATTCATCCATTATGCTGCGGATGGAGCCAACCTAAATGAAGACACGGGCTGGCGTGCGTCTCTAACGAGTCCTGTTGGAGGAAAAAAGTCAAACCATAGCAAACTACGGCTTACTAAAACACACGCTGTTGTTGATGTGCGCTCTTGAGGTGGTTTTATACTATACGCCCCTGTGCAGGCGCCCTCCCCCTGGTTAACTCTTTCGCCCCTCTCCTCCCCAAACGGTTGTCCGGCCAGGTTTAACACCATATTCTTGTTTGGAAACAACCAAAAGTCACATAAAGCTTATTTTCCAGCATACAGATGTGATTACTATAAATCATTCATAGTCAGGACCAAGCTGATATGGATTTATGTTTAAAATCTACAAAATATCTTGGCAGAGTATAAGAACTATAATTATAATTAGTCCCACAATGGGGAAATTAACATTTTTACAGCAAAAGTGCAGAGCAAAGAGGAAACATTCATACATAGGCATGACATATTCATGTTAGCAATTACACAAATTTACAAAAAGTATCCAGATGGACAAAACTTCCTCGTGTTATTGGGGGACATTTCAATACGCATTCGATCACGTATATTTATAGTAATTACGTTATCCAAACACACTTTTTTTATATAACAAAAAAGCCTCTACACAGGCACATGAAACATCCTAAAGTATCCTTGGTGGTCCCCGGAGGCGCACTGGACACACAGGCGCGTCACAGCGCGAGGGAAGAGACCCGGAGGCGCGTGACAGGAGGTCTGCCTCTCCTGTGGACATGTGTGCTGCAGCAGCCTCGTCCCAGGCTTTGATTAAAACGCTCATACGGAAGGTGCTGTAACACTTCGCTTAAGCGAGACAAATGGTGCGTAATGTGATTAGCCCTTGTGAGACTTTTTATTGTCCGCTTCAAAGGACAGGTCGCCGTGTCAAATTATGCACCAAGCGGGGATGCTGCTGCTCCAGCATGGGTGACAGTTCACTGAGCCCCGGAGGCACGGGGGAGACCGCGGTGCATCTAATGTCGTTTGTCACCTTTGAAGTCGACACATTCAGTTTGGGCACAAGTGGAACAATAATGTTACTGACGATGACGAACACGATCTCATTACTGTTATGGATTGTTTGACAGTGTGGTAACAGCTTTCATAAAACCATTTAAACGTATATTGTTTTGTTTCCTTTCTATGCAGGCATTATCCTTGATGGTGGTGCCAAATGGCGCGTAACGCATGCACAGCTCAAGACAGTGGAACAGCAGAGCCAAAACGTCCCCCAAATTACTGTTAAATATTAACATGAAAAAAACAAGTACACTTAAACATGATTGAACTTATTCTTAAATAATACTGTTTTAAATGTATTGAATACAAGCATAAATCTCGACAAAGGGTCATCATATATTTGTTTTACAGCTCTTGTTGTCATGAGTCTTAAGGGGTGATTCTGAGACTTTTGGTAAACTCATGCTCAATGTACATCTGATGCCCATGTGTGCACAGTGAGTACATCTGGTCTGAGTGGCAGCTAACTTATTATCCTTAAGAATGCCAGCGGAGTAACTGGCAGCAGATAATGATGTGCAGAAATGAGCAATGCAACATCTTTGATCACTGATATCACCCAAATATCATATTTCGTCCAGTACCGTATTCCCATACATCACAAATAAACTGAACTATGTCACAAATATCTGATAAGATCAAACATCTGAATAGATCGAAAGAAAATAAACGTAATTGTCATCTGCATTAATGAAACACACCACCCCGGCCCACTTCATTATGCTCAAGTGGTTCCCAGTATACAGCTTTGCTGCAGTCTTACTCATAGTCCAGCATAGCTGTCTAAACCATGTAAATCTGCTCTTTGTCTGCTTCACTTCAAAAATCCCTTTCCAGAATAGAAAAATCTCTTGTCTAAATGGAAAACAGAGAGCTGAGAGAATAGCTTGCCTGCTTTGGACACAGTGGTGGACATCAAAGGCGTAGCAGAGGATCCCCCTTCAGAATAGCAGCTACATGCCATTCCAATAAGTGCAATGTATTTGGATCTGCAGTTCAAAAGGGGCTGGTGCAGGCAGGTCTCTGGGGCCCTGCCACCAGTAGTCAGGCTGCACAGATGTTTCGAATGCCAGCGCAGACCATTTGCCACTTCTGTTGAAGCTGAGGGCAGTTAGAAGTGACTGGAGGGAAGTTTGGCAACACACGAGCTTCCCACCTTTCCTCAAAGTCAAACTGAATTACCATACTCTGTCACTTTGCTTCATAGGCTAGATGGACACCTGTGGCGTTTGTCCATTCAAGGTGTCATTAGTATCTTTAATCATGCTGCAGATAATTGTAATGAGAGGAACATTTTAAATTGTGTTTGCCAGTCTTTCTAATAAATTCTTATGTCTAATATGTAGAGCTTTTTGTCTCTGTAACTTATATATTTTATAAGTTGTTTTAAAAATAAGTCAAAAATATAAATACAAATGAAACAGTTTAACTGAGAGCGTGTAATGGATGTTACAGATATGACCAAATATGTCAGTTCTGTCTGCTTTTCTCTCGAAAGGAAACAATGATACACACATGTTAATGGTTATTACATTATTCTTATTGAAATAAGATTATATAAAGCTTTCATTAGCTGAATCATACAAAAATACTAAAAAAACATGTTAAATACTGACTGAAGCAAATACTTTTCATTTTTTTTAAAGCGACCCATATGATCATTTCCTCTGGCATAATTTAATTCTAAAATATTGCAATCCCAGAACAAGCATACTTTCTGCTCTGCGTTTGAACAAAAATGTTGCTGGTAAATCTCAACAAGTTAAAGTTTGCCTCCCAGCATAATCACAGTGTAGCTTAGTATTTGAGCACTGCATGTCTGTGACGCACTGAGTTTTGTCCGAGTATGAATTCAAGCTTTTAAGTTTCTCTTTACACACATCTGTCTTCCGCTGTAAACCCGCAATGAATTTCAGAATGTCCGCATTTAGACTAAAGGTGAAAGTAAACACAAATTAATACCAGACATCCCGAGGACTTCAATGCAACATTAGGAGGCCACCTTTTCCCATCTCCTCCAGATCTTTATGGAACTGTACATTGGGATGACATCACAGATTAGAGGATTAATAAAACTGTTTTCTATTGTTTCTGGCTATAGAAGCCAGATGTAAATATTCACTTACAAGACGGCGTGGTCTAGCGTGGAGCGTCACGGTTTTATCCTCTACAGGAAAATATCTGTTCTATGTCTATGTTTGTCATCTAGTTTGTTTTCCCCCAAGGATTGCATATTGCATTATAATTCCACATTGTGTCATCACTATGTTGTTTATGGGAAGGAAAAGAATCACAAACATGGTAATGTCCCGAGGGCAAACAAGTGTCGACTAGACCCAATCTGACACATTGTGAAAACACATTTATCATCCATCTATAATCCTTCCTGTGATAATCAAATGATTACCCCATACCACGAGAATTTAGAGTTCAGGGCTAATTGCTAGGTTAGGTTTCTGTTGGCTCAGGTGCTGCATACTCTGCATGCTTACCTTCACAACTGTTACTCAGTCTGTATGAAAGAGCACAGCCAGTCTTTAAAACATCAACAATTAGGCTGTTAAGACTGTGAATATGTGCAGTCTCGCCACAAAACAGGCCATAACACCTTTTTTATTCTGCACCTTTGTTTTTAAGATTTAACTCGGTAGTTAAGTAATTGCTGCATGATCAATTATTTACAGGAAGGTTATCATTTACTGTGGAGATGAAAGTGGTGTAAACGTTTTTATATTCCTCATATTTTTCTAAATCAGTTCAGCCTTGTTTAGTGTAAACAGTCATATGTCTGGCATTTAAAACAGTATAAAAGGGAAGGTTCAAGAATTTACGTAGCCTGTCATCCGCATCATTAATCAACCTTTCTGTTTCCAAAACACATTCAGGAAGTTTTTAAGTGCAGTATTTGTGTTTTATTAGGACAAATACAAATCAGCAGAAGTAGACCACATGGGAAATTTCAAGTCACAAATGCCTTTTCCAATTTCAATACCTACTACTTCATGTTAGGTTAGAAAATGATCTTTTTTTTTGTAGAGACTGCATCGTTTTTTAAATAATAACCACCATGATGTTTAGTTATGAGAAGCAAAAAATGCTTCCATAAAAAGTTCTCAACGTCTTAATATAGGCGGGAGAAAAAAGGTGTAAAAAGAGCTGCTGAAATATATTGAACTAACCATATGTTTTTTGACTCAATATAAAAAGCTAATAACTCTAAATATTTTACACCATACCTGAGACCAATCCAGCAATGGATGTGCAAATTTTTTTTCTCAAATATACATATATTAGGAAATAAGGTATTTCAATAGTTCATATAGAGTACCATGTTAAGAAGCACAAATAAATGTTCTGTTTGATCACAATGTTTAACCAACATATACAAAGCAGCTGCTTAACATTTGGCCCTTGTTCTGCCGTGAGACATGGGTGTTACTCTACGTTGTGTGTTTATAGGTCTGCTGTTGCGTGGGCACTTAGACTTTGTCTTGACACTGTGAAATGAAGGTGTCAAAGGTCATATCAGCTGCTCTGCTCCAGCCCTGTCTCATCATGGAGGTCAGGACGGGACGAATGCTTCCGTCGTGAGAACTTCAGGCAGAAGAGGTCTCCCACCTCGTTCATGTGGTGCAGCACCTGAGGACAGAGGAAGAGTCTCAGAACATGTGTGTACTGTATGTTTGATTCAGTTAAAACAACACCTAAGCCTCAGAAATGTTAGTGCACCTGGTTCAGCATTTCTCTGGTGTGCGCTGCAGACAGACAGAAGCGAGCTCGGGCCTCTGTGATCGGCGTGGCTGGAAATCCAACGACAACTACACCAATTTTTCTCTCCAGCATTTCTCGAGCAAAAGCCCTGTTCAAAAAGCAAAAAAAAAAACATACATTTTTATATATTTTTATACTAAGGTGAGTTCGCAAAATGATTGTTGATGACAAGGTTTTGACTAAGTATTTATCTGACTTAGGTAAACTTTGTTAACTGTTTTGATTAAAATTACTGAATTATACTTTTCTTAAAATCGAATTTCCCATTACACATATAGCATGATGATTGTTTCTTTTGTTTATGTCTTTTGTGATTTATATACTGCTTTGCTTATAGAGAGCAATTGACCAAAGAACGGAGTCAGGTCAAAATGGACATTTATCATCTACCAAATACTTACTAACTTATCACATTCATAACATTTTTAAGGTTTGAAGTCCTCAAAATATGCAGTCGACCAACAAGCCACCTCAGAATGAATGAGTAATTGCCGCTTTGACTTATGATATTGAGAACTATGAGGAATGTCGCTTCTTCGAGCCGCTCATAGTCCTCAGTTATGCAGTTGGGATGTGTGGTATCTATCATTTTAAAGGAACACATAAATAACTAAGTTTAAGGGCCAGGATCAGCATATTTCTGACGACTTTTATTTTAATGAGTCCAAATAGCAATACCACTTCATTTTGTGGCAGTGGACAGTTTGGAGAATTCAAACCGTGAAATGTGCTCTAAAAATGATTAACTGAAACTGACACCGCACACTTTGACAGTTTTGTAGATGATTCCTGATGTGAATGCAGTGCTTTGTACAGATGCTTGTACAGAACCTCATCTCACATCAGGATCTTTATATCTACTACATATCAATAAGACAATCTAAATGACAGGAATTAGATTCCCTTATATAGTAGAGTATTTAGAGACTGACATGTCTCATAAACCCATGTCAGTGCTTTCACAATACGAAAGTTGTTGATGTTTTATACAATTCTAAAATCCCCCAAATCAACAGTGTAATTATTTAAGAAATGTCTGTTTCCCAAAATAATATTTAAGGGTAATACTGGTGAAAATAAACTATTTTGAAATCCAGAAGTTACTCATTATAGCAATTATTGGCCTTCTCGTGTATATTAAATGGTGAATGGCATTGAAAGACACTTTATACCCAATTTATTATACCTGAGTGGCTCAAACCACCCTGCGTTTTATACCTAATCAATAACCGATGTGGCCTCTTAAGTGGTTACAGAACCCTACACTGATTCATGGAAACTCTGCAGTGTACGGCTGCCATCCACATCCTTCAGAGATGATACACGGTGAGCTAATATTTACTGGTTCAAATTAGTCCCTGCAAAATGGAACGGACATCCCGATAATCTTACTCTCCAAATGTTTTTGGTGAATGTACTTACACCACTTTGCCGGGCATGTAGAGCAGGATTGGGACCACAGGTGAGTCTTCATGGCCGTAGATGATGAAGCCCATCTCCTTCAGCCTGGCTCTGAAGTATTTGGTGTTCTCTGCCAGTTGGCGGATCCTTCTAATGCCTGATTAAAACAAAGAAACCACCAGATGTATGTGAATATGTGATTTTCTTCCACTTTCCCCTGCAGTAAGGGACATCACCTGTCAGTACGAGCTAACGTCGTCTCCACGGTGCCATCTCATCCTGAGTCATGCACCTCCGCCTGGGCCATTCCAGCCTCCACTATGAACTCATAATTAGAACTCAGTCGCGGCAGCAGATGGTTCAGTTTTGTCTATCTGACGGCATGGTATGCGGCAAAATGAGGGTTTGCAAATTGGATACGATGAATTTCACACAATACGAGTCACTGTGGACTTCCACTGGAATATAGCCATGATTGAAAGAAAGTACAAATAATCCTGAGGTATCACATGTATTTCAGGTCAATGTATTGTAAAACAAATCAAAGGCAGGCGAGGCGAGCTGCCCTGATAACCCCCTGTGTTTCCAAATGATGTGAATCACGGGGGGGGGCTGGTGCTATGTGGCTGAAGCAGAGTTTGGCATGGCTCAGACTTGGAACACAGCTCTGTTTCCCTCTGATTACCTGGGAACAGATTGGCAGTTATTTTATGGGGTTGTAAGAGAGCACTTTAAATCCCCTTATCTCAGCAGAGAGAGCGAGAGGAAGGGAAAAAACACAACATTCAGGCATCTGCCAAGAAAGCACGGGCCCCATTTTGTAAATTGTTCCTCTCTGCTTAAATAGAGGGCATGGAGGTCAAAAACCTACTGCCAGACTCAGAAATGGTATGAGTAGGTGAGAATGTGTGGATGTTGCTTTCAGTCTGGGTTTTTTCTTGTTTCAGAGCTGTGTGCTTCAAAGTGTGAAATTCAACATCAGCGAGAAAGACGAGGGGGGGCAGAGAGGACGGAGAGAAAGAGTAATGAAAACGTCTCAGGCGTAGTGATGTGACAGATGTTTGAGTTGCACTGTTTGCTGTGTTCCCTGTCCTCTAGATTAGAACAGGGGGCGCCAGTGGGGTCACTCAAAGTTTGAGGCTAACAGGATTTTTTTTTTAAGTTTCATCTTTTAAAAAAAAAAAATTATGTTATTAATAACTGCATATCTATCAATCTGTGTCCTTTGATGCCAATCTTTTTATATTTTTAGTTTTTGAATCACACGACCGCCCTTCAAGCCAATCAGAATCGAGCTGCCGCTACTGTGAGTGAAAATCTGCTCAGCCTATGGAGCAAGTGAGAGCTAGTGAATGTTTCGCTCTGCAGCTGGATAAGAGCACGGATGTAGCAAATGTCGCAGAATTGCTTGCATACATCAGATTTATTTCATTAGACAACTTTGTTGAGGAAATATTATTTTGCAAAGCACTGGAAGGTAGGACCACATGAAGAGACATTTTCCAAGTTTTAGATGAGTACATCATCTCAAATGGACTTGACTGGTCTCGTTGTGTGGGTGTGTGTTCAGACGGGGCAGTGGGGCATTGACAGGCAAAGAAAGCGGAGTGACAGCTTCGATCAGGCAGAAGGCCCCAAATGTAGTGGCAACGCACTGCATGTTCCATCGGGAGGCACTTGTACACATCATTTAAAAAAAAAATTGCAACAGGGGGGTCCCCGCCAGAGGATAATGCTATATGGGGGTCCTTGGCATGGCAAAGTTTGGGAACCCCTGCTCTAGAAGACAGGTCAAGACTTATTTTTCAACAACAGCTTTTTTGCTGGGCTACGTCATGTCTGGTTCAGAGCCAGATGAGAAAGTTACTCATCTCTGCATGAAGCTGCCATGCACCTCAACTGTAGGACAACAGGCTATAGTCTTATAGTGATTAACCCATTACAGCAGCATAAAACAGACATGTTGCATCATCTCAAATCATGGTTCTGCGCTACTTTAATATGAAAAGTTATACAAAGAGAGAGTTGCTGCCTCAGAAACTTGCCAATCTAAAAAGTGTAATTGTAAAAGAAAATAATTCTATATAGGCTAACTGGTGATTTTTGCGGTTTAAAAACGATTACAGGCCATTAGCAGCAATATTTATATTTAAAAAAGGTTTTTGGATGGACATGATACGTGATTTTCTCTTTGCTTAGCCCAAAATTGAGCTCAGACCCTTGAAGTAAAAAAGCTAGTTATAATTGTTTCTATGGTTACCTCCACTGCTAGCTTGCGCCGCTATACAGCTGTGATCTGATTGGTTGCCCGTCAAAAGGTCAGTAGTAATGAGGTCAAAGTTGAAATAATTTAAACTTTGAGCGCAGCATTCGGCGAAGATTTCTCGATAGAAACACAAGGGGAACGTAAAGCAATGTTTCCGCTATTCATGTGAATGCAGCATTAGAAGAGAAGACTCTCGATTCCTACATGAACTACAATAACTTCAGAAGAGTTGCTGTGGCAGTAATGTGACTGCTCTGGTAATAACTACTTCCCTGCCCAGTGTCAGATGCCATTACAGCAGAAACTTCTCAGAGGTACAGTGTTCCTCACAACACACAGATGAAAATGATTTCCTCCACGGTAGGGTCACGTGCGCTCAGTGACTGCACGTCCCCCCCCTCTTTCTACCACAGCAGACCCCTGTAATTGCTTCCACGTTTTTTGACCAAGCAGCTGTTTGTCTTTTCCTGCAGGTCTGGCCCTACTCGTAATGTGTCCATTGGTACCGTCCTCTGGATTTGGTTTGCTTTTGTTTCCATAAAAAAAGATATTAAGGTGTAAAGAATGTTATAAGCCAGACATAATATTTGTCTGTGTGAAGAACATTAGTTTTGACGAGCATGTGGATAATGAGGGAATGAGAAATTGAGGGCGACGTTCACAGGAGAGAGCCGCAATGAACTCAGACACTCACCCTCTGTGCTCCCGTTATTTCCCATGATGCACTTCATGGCACGTAGGATCTGCTCGGTGACAGGAGGGGACAAGGAAGTGGCGTATACTGCACTGTGGGACTGACAGCGCAGGTAGTCCACCAGCTCCTGCAACATAGGACACAATATAGAAGACATTAGGAAAAAAACATTTATGTCTTTACAGAAATACACTGCTCATTTCAGATGCCATATAACCAGAAGTGTGGCCCTGCACTTTTATTTGAGCGCCACTAGAGCGAGCTCATGTATAGTCAACACCTGAAAATCAATTAAAATACCTCGAGTCAGTTCTCTGTGTTTATGACTGTCTTGGCATTGGCTGTAAAGAAGCTCTGGAGCCTTTCCCGCTCTCCCCTCTGTGGTAGCCAGAACACTCATTTGAGAAAGAACCGACGCTGAGAGGAGCCAGAATGAGGACTGCCGTGCTCATTATTCCTAAATGTCAGCAGGAGATTAATTCTGCTAGTGGTTGTCAAGAGAGGAGCAGGATTCAGGAAGCTGATTGGGCCTTGGGTCCCCAGAGCACGTGTGTGTAAGTGGTCTGAGGCTGGGAGGGGGGCCTGAGCTGTGATGGGCTGCTGCTCAGTGGCTGTCGATGGCCAGCGGGTGCGGGGTGATGACACGTGGCCGGAGATGCTGTCTGGCCACCATTTCCACTAACAGCCATCTGTCCCCACTGGGCGGCGGCTGCGGCTTCCTCACACACATGAGGGGAGGGGATTTTAGGGGAAATGCTCAAATGTAGGATAAGAACCCTGACACAACCTGACATCTGTTTTTGTTTAAGGCAGGGGATTTTCGCTGCTTTAGGGCCCCCGCAGGATTTTGGTGCGACCAAGATAAACCAGTTAAGAGAACATGTCCGAAATCCATCTCACAAAGTGTTTCCGAAGCCACAAGGTGGCCGCAGTACTGATGTGGTGGTATGTGTCCACAGAGTAGAAGTAGTAGTGCCAGAACATCGCACACACTTACATGATTCCTAAACGGGTGTATTTAATAACCTAATGACTAGTGATGGGAATTCCGGCTCTTTTTAGTGAGCCGGATCATTTGGCTCGGCTCACCAAGAAGAGCCGGCTCTTTCAGCTCCCAAACTGCATTTCATTTGACCACATATACCTTTTATAATTCAATCAAATGTAGCCCTGTTTTGACTAATGATTTATATGTGTACACATACATCACTTAAATGATTCAATACCTCCTTTGTACTGAAGTATTCAAAAGTAAAAATGACATGTTTAATATGAATGATTTGCTGTGGCCAATTGTTTTCATTGCATTTACAGACCCTTGTAACTCTCTGATACCACCCCATGAATGCACCGACTTGCTTGTAGAACCACGGTACACAAAACAGATAGCAACACCTATAAAAACTATTTTAAAAAAGGGGCTAATGTATCGACATTTTAAAATTATATTTAAAGAAAAGGCCGATTCTGTGAGCTGCAGCTGACCACGCCCCCCTGCAGGAGAGAGGAGCGTGCTCTGAGATCAGCTGCTGGGCTGTCAGAAGAGGGGGAGAAAAAGAGATCTCCCTCCTCCGTGTTTTATTCTTATAGAAGTAAGAAGAGAAGTAACGGGGCAGAAACCCTCCTTTTTAAGCAGCGGTCCAGACATAGACATCAAACGGCGACCCATATTCAGTTGATATTTACTTTGGCATTAGGGCAGGGATATCTAGATACTTTCCAAGGTTTGACATAATGAATTGTGCTACTTTTAAAGCAAGCAACGATGTTTTCAAATCTGTAATCAAAAAGCTCCTCAAAAACGCTATCGAAGCATTTCCTGCCGTTGTCCTGACTATTTTTCTTTAGCGGATACATGTCAATTTAAATAAATACATACAACTATTTTTTAAATCAATAAAATCATTTTCTAAATCCATAAAAGCATTTCAATTAATACTGGGAGTCATGTCGTTACTTTGTTGAGAATGTG